AGCCAGCATTTTGAACTCAGACTTCTAGCCTCCTAAGCTGTAAGACATTAAAGCCTGTTTGTTAAAGCCACCCACTTGTGTTATTTCTGTTAAAGTGGCACTAGAGTTAACCAAAACACTAGGTATGCAAGAATGATTCAACATTAGAAAAGCAACATAATCCACCATATAAATAAAGGAAATAAACCATGTATTCTTATCAATTGATGCAGAAAAGGCATTTGACAAAATCCAACACCCACTTGTGATAAAAATGTTGAATCAAATAGGAATAGTAGGGCAATTCCTTTACATAATTAAGGGCAATATACAAAACTAATGGCCAACTTTATTCTCAATGGAGAGAGACTGAAAGCATTCCCCTTACAAATGGACATCAGAAAAGGATACCCTTTATCACCACTCTTATTCAATATTGTATTGGAAGTCCTCCCTAGAGCAATAAGGCGAGAAAGGGAAATAAAAGGCTTCCACATTGGCAAAGAAGAGGTAAAATTCTCTATTTGCAGATGAGATGATATTATAATTAGAAAATAACAAAGACTAAGCCAGAAAATTACTGGAACTAATTGAAAGATTCAGCAAAGTGGCAGGATACATGATCAATATACAAAAATCAGTCAGATTCCTTTACACTAACAAAGAGAACTGGGAAAAGGAAATCAGGAAAACAATACCATTTATAATAATCATTCAAAAAGTAGAAGTACTTAGGAATAAATTTAACCAAAGACACAAAAACCTATACAAAGAAAATAAAAAAACTACTACTACTAGAAACCAAAAGAGATCTACACAAATAGAAGAACATACCATCTTCATTGTTAGGGAGACTTAACATCATGGAAATGTCAATACTACCCAAAGCTATCTACAGATATTATACGATTTCAATCCAAATTCCATTGTCTTTCTCTGTTGTTGTTGTTGTTATGTGCCGTCGAGTCGGACCTGACTCATAGCGACCCCTCCTTGGGTTTCCGAGGCAGTATCACTATGGAAGTAGATTGCCCCCATCTTCCTTCCAAGGAGTGGCTGGTGGGTTTGAACCGCCAGCCTTATGGTTAGCAGTCAAGTGCCTTAGCCACCATGCTACCAGTGCTCCTGTCTTTCTCTAAAGACATGTAAAAAAAGTAATCACCAACTTTTTATGGAAAGGTAAGAGACCCCAGATAAGTAAAAAGCACTACTAAAAAAGTAGGAGGCCTCACACTTCCCAATCTCAAAACCTACAGTCTGTTTTGACTACTGTGGCTGTGCAGTAGGTTTTGAGACATCCATTTGCAGAAAAATGAAACAAGATCCATTTCTTTCACCACATACAAAAACAAACAAGTTGAATCAAAGACCTGAACGTAAAACTTAAAACTCTAAAGGCCATCAAAGAAAAAATAGGGACAAACTTAGAGGCCCTAGTACATACACAGCATAAATACACTATCAGACATAACTAAAAACACACAAATACCAGAAGACAAACTAGATGACTGGGACTTCGTAAAATTAGACAGTTTACACATCAAAAGATTTCACCAAAAGATTAAAAAGAGAACCCACAGACTGGGGAAAAATTTTTGGCAACCACATACTGAACAAGGGACTAATCTCTAAAACTTACAGAAAACTTCAACACCTTAACAACAAAAAGACAAATAATCCAATTAAAAAATGGGCAGAGTACACAAACATGAACAGACATTTCACCAAAACAAAGTACAGGTAACAAATTCATGAGGAAATGCTCATGATCATTAGCCATTCAACTCACTCATTGCCGTCGAGTCGGATCCAACTCATAGTGACCCTTTTTTTGGGTTTCTGAGTATCTCTATGGAAGTAGATTGCCCAACCTTCCTTTTGAGGAGTGGCTCGTGGTCTTGAACCGCCAGCCTTCTGGTTAGCAGTCAAATGCCTTAGGCACTATGCCACCATTAGCCATCAGAAAGATGCAAATATAAATAACAGTGAAATACCATCTTAGCCTAGCACTATAGCAAAGTTCAAAAAAACAGAACAACAAATGCTGGCAAGGGTGTGGAAAGACTGGAACATTTACACAGTGCTGGTGGGACTGTAAAATGGTGCAACCACTGTGGACAGTGGAACAGTATGGTGCTTCCTTAAAAAGAAATATAAATACGATGTGATCCAGGAATCCCACTACTAGATATATATCCTAGAGAATTAAGAGCCATGACACAAGCAAATATATGCACACCCATGTTCATCGCAACACTATTCACAATAGCAAAAAGATGTAAATAATGAAAATTCCCATCAACAGAGGAATGGAACGACAAATTATGGTACATACACACAATGGAATATTATATGATGTTAAAAATGATGAATATGTGAAATATAACATGAATGAACCTACAGGCGCCATTATGTTGAGTGAAATTAGTCAATCACGAAAGAACAAATATTGTATGAGAGCACTACTGTAAAAAGTCAATAAAAGGATTTCACACACAAAAAAAGAAATAATATTTGATGGTTACCAGAGGTGGGGGGGAAGGAGGGTAAACTACAAAAAAAGCAAAACAAACAAACAAAAAATGGACATTGGAAGCAATTTTGTGATTAAACAGAGAAGCCCAGAATACAACTTTCATGCAATCTGTCCCTCTGTCCTCAGAAATGTGTTTACCTAAGGTTCATTTGGAGTTGTGAATGTAAAATGGAACCTACAAAAGGAATAGGAATTTTTTGGAGAAACTGGCTCCTAGAGAAACCTAGGTGAGAAAGTAAAAGTTGCTGTAGAAAAAGTTGCACCTCCACAGACTCCGTTTCCTCAAAAGCATGTTACTTTTCTGAGGAGGGATTTGGACTGTGTGACATTGGCATACTTGTTTACTCTTGTGATGTGTGTATTTGTTGAGCAGTGGCTATCTGAAGATGCCAGAGCCATGTAATCAATAGGCGAGAGGCACTGTGAGGCTTTAAGCACAACAGAGCAGCCTCAGAGCTCAGTTGGCCAACTGCAGCCCCAGCGTGGGGAGGGAGGAGTCTCCCTAGTAATGCAGGGAATCCTGTCCTGCATTCTCTGGAGAAGTGACCTATTTGGGGATGTTGGAAACAATCACTCTTAGCTGTTCTCTGGGAATTGTCAGCAGAGCCAATGGTGTGTCTTCTTCAACTCATTAAGGGGGTGGGGGACAGGTCATGGTGAAAAGAACAGAGTGGATACTGTGATGGATTCTGTGGGTGATTTCACTGACAGATAGATTTATGAGCAAGCATGAGGCTCCTCCTTAAGATCTCACAGAAATGCCCCAGGAGGCCTGGGGTGGGGTAGTCAGGCACCTGTTGGTACAGGTGGGGCAAGACAAGAAATTGGCTTTTGTTATTAGAAACTTTATTAGTAGCCACAGCCTTCGTAGGTGCGCTGACAGTTGGGTAAAAATTTAAGGGGTTTATATCGCACTTTTGCACATGATAAAAGACCTTTCTGAAAAGCTGCTATTTCTCTTTACTTACATGCCTACTCTGTACAGTACTTGGACATGGTCACTCTAGAATGACCAATTCATCCCAGTTTGCCTGGGACTTTTGCCAGCCCTAAATGGGGCAATCTACTTCCGTAGTGATACTACCTCGGAAACCCAAGGAGGGGTCGCTGTGAGTCGGGGCCGACTCAACAGCACATAACAACAACAAGAACAAACATTTTGAATCCCAGGAATCCCTCGGTCTTGGAGAATTGGGACAATTAGTCACCCTACCACTTATTCTCACTGCTAACCATTACCTCTGAGCTAGGAAGACAGAGCAGACCATTTATATTCTCACAACATAGCAGAAATATGAGTGCATCTCCCTTTTAGGGTATTAATGATCTATAAAACAGGCAAGGTATATTGCAAAGCTCCCTTTCAAGTTGTGCACCTGAAGCTGAACATGGACATGCAAAGGGTTCATATACTGAATAAAGTGCTATACTAGGCTAACAATTCATTGTTATTTGCCAAAGCATCTTCTTCACCTTTTCTATCTCACA